TGTAGTCGAAGGAGATGTCCCCATGAACGTTGTTCGTCATTTGGATATTTTCAGAAGAAAATATTCATTGAAGTCTATTTGAGGCAAACATATTTGTTTCACCAATATACACACATACGGACACATAGCGGGACACACAGCCAAATAGACAGACAAAATCAACACAAAACACGCAGGCGCGCACGCACACGCACGCACGCACGCACATCTGCTGGGGCGCTCGTAAAATATCTAGCTGATTGCTGGGTTTTGTTCTGTTTTTTTTATGACCTTTGGTTTTCCGTAGGGTTTTAACTAAACACGTTGTACCGTCGCTAGACACCATCGTTACCTTCCCGATACATGACGAGAATCGGGCTTGTTTACTACCACTTTGTTTGAGACGCTTCGAGGAAGCATTTTCAAGAAGACTCTTTCTCTTCTTGTAAGGTTCTTCATCGAAACAATTACATGCTGCTTCCAGTAGAGTGAGTGAGTGCGTGAGTGAGTTTAGGTTTACGCCTCTTTTAGCAACATTCCAGCAATAGCACGGCAGGGGACACCATCAATGGATTCACACATTGTACCCACGTGGGGAATCGAACCTGGGTCTTCGACGTGACGAGCGAACGCTTTAAACACTATGCTACCCCACCGCCCTCCAGTCCAGGCCCGCGTTTCTCAAAAGCCTCCTTAATTTAGGAGGTCGTAGCCCCTACGACCTTGTTAACGACCCTCTTCCGACCTCCTTTACGACCGTTTCACAAAGACGTCATATCCATGTCGTACGACGCGGTCCTAAATCCATGTCGTACATTGTATAAGAGGTACTTTGTTGCATAGCAACGCATAAAGCGAGACCGAACGGGCACCTGCTTATCTTGTTATTCCCAAAGTATTTCAAAATAGAAATACAGTTTGAATAACAAAGCAAATGTTATGTTTTTAATTCAATGTACAGGTTATGTTATCGTAAAAAAATATCAATAAATGAATTATTTTGGACTCTCACTAAATTCCATTGAAAATTACACGATAAAATGTATAAATCATTTCCATTAATATTATCAGTTTTACTTATAAGGTTTGAATTAAGTCGCTGTCCATTAACTTGTTCATATGAAACTGCAATTTCAGTCCCAATGTATTGAATATTGCACACTATAAGACCTAAAGTCAATGTTGCTGTTATGGCTACGCTTGATCTACTAACACTTGTGTAAAGGTTTAAAATATGGTGTGATACTCTAAATGTGTCAATTTCTTTTGTAACTTTTCTTCAAATAATCAAAAACTTTCAAAGAATAAAAACGTATACCCTATATCCACGTATGATATGATATTGAACAAGGCTAAATGTAGGTAGAATCTACTGAAATTGTTGTCATGAAAAAAAAAAATCTGAATGATACGAAAAATATACATCATAGTACTGAAAGTGTAATCAGAAGGATAGGACGATTGTGTTTACTTTTTTTTCATCCGACCTTCACCTCAAAGATATTGCCTAATATGTAGTACTACAACAATGTTGACGTGTGACATCACAACCGATGACCGATTTCTTACAAAATGGCGGCTTCGGTGACAAGGGTACACAGGATTTTGCGAGGACTCTTCCCTTGCTTCAGGGGTCGTTTGTACATAAATATGAAATGTAAGTAATCAGAGTGACTCTGACTATCTGTGTATTGTTATATGTTTTCTTTGTAAGTAAGAGAAGAAGCCAGAAATGCTGATACTTACCGTTGTCGATCTGCGTGATTTTGCGTCTGTTATGGCCTCACGCTGCACGGAAACTTTGACAATTTCTTATACTCTTTCAATACATCTTCTTAAAGGTATTGAGTCATTGCAAGCAATGAATAGCCGGCTGCTCCGCACCTCGTTGTATCGCGGCATTCATGGTATCGCGGCAAACTTTATTTCGGGTTTTCTGCGCGAGACACGCCTCCTAGATATACTTCCGAGCACAGCGTTTGTTTTCACACCCAATATCCAGTTGGTATTGGTAACAAAGACCAACTGTGATTTGATTTTAAAATGTATGGGGAATTCAGTGATGCATTTGTCGCAGCTGACTATGAAATATACATGATTTATTACCCACGCGGTCAACGAATGGGTAGTTGCATACTAATCTCGTATGTCACATGAGTGTCGTATCGCGTTGACCTGTGTCGTAACGACTTGACCTGAGATTATAACGATTTGATTGGATAACCGATGACCTCTCAATTGGGTCACATTCTGACGTAACTATTTTTTCATTCTTAACAAACACGTGAATTCATTCATTCTACAACTTCATTGTGGGAATGTAAACATTGCGAACGTTGCCGTGTCGCTGTTTAATTGTGAGTCGAACTGAGACATTATATCCGTTGAAAAACATAAACGCAATGTTTCCACCAGTGATGTTAGCCGAATGAAGCAACTGCAAACCAAGAAACGGGGTGCTACGGAGTAGTTTACTGTAGGAGGCTGTACGAGGCGATGACAACTGACATGCATCGTGACGTCGGTTACCAAGGCAGTGACGTCATTACAGTGTGACGTCATGCAAATATTGTACTACAGTACAAAACTCTTCCGCAATCTCTTTACGAAACCGGTTTCGGTTTGAAACCACAAAATAACAAAAATACGCTATTTTGTCAATTTAATGCATGTAAGAAGTGGGTAATAAATAAAATACCACACTCGGTCTCATTACATACGAATTATACGAAACGAGTGTCCTTCCTATTGTATCTGACCTCGCGCTCGGTCAGATACCATAGGAAGGACACTCGTTTCGTATAATCCGTATGTAATGAGACCTCTTGTAGTATTCTCTATGTAATAGGCGTCTCAATACCGGCCTTTGCGAGACGTGATTTTGTAAACACTATCCAATATGTCGGAAAGTGCACTTCGGCGTTCGTGTGAGTATATTTTCGAAAACATCCAAACCGATTCTAGGTTCATCGGCAGCGTTTCAGATTCTCATTAGTGATATCATGAAAAACTGATTTCAGTTATCAGTACTCCCAGTAATTATCCGATTTTCACATTTGAAATCATACTGTCTACACTGTACAGCAAATAATGCTGTGAATCGTGATTTCGTATTGTGTATAAAATGGCGACATTTACGATGAAGCCTATTTTGAAAGGTTATTTAAGCACTTTAGCTTTGTCTGAGATTTTAGTGGATGGTATCAAGAAACAGGGAATTTCCCGCAGAATACAAAACTGTGAAGTATATTTGTGTGCGTGATATATTTAGAATTTGTTGTCGGGGTTCTTTTTTCATTCTTCTTTGTTGTTGCATTTTAAAAGGTAACATGACGAATCAGCCATATTAAGTTCATGATTTTAAGATCGTATTTCAGTTTGGAATTGCTTTTGAAAAAAAACCCTACGCCTTTGCCCATACGTGGTCCAATAATTCCAAACCGTCACAGATGTGCCTCCATACTGTTGATGTTATACTGGACTTTTCTTTTGATTGACTTTTTCGTCATAAGTTTTACTGATCATAAAAAATCATACTTTGTTTTAGCGTAGAATTTTGCGCAGTAAATGAAGATATGTTTGTGTTTGCATGCATGGATGCTTTGGTTTGTGCATTCTTGCCTGCATGTGTGTGCGGGTTTTTGTGTGCGTTCATGTTTGTGTCGTACATGAGTGTTTGGGAGCGCGTACTGGGCCCCGCTCCTCAAGGCGATCGTAGCGCTACGACAGTCGTAAGTCTATGTTAAAGTATGGGAGTTACGATCACCTTAGCGCTACGATCGCTTTGAGGAACGGGGCCCTGGTCAGCCTGTACGTACGTATATGCGTGTATCTGTCTGAATGCAAGATGAGCTAAAGCCATAACGTTCACTACTTGTTTCCTGAACAGTCAAATGCTGGACCAACTATATTTGTGTGCGTGCGCGTACGTTCGTGCGTGCGTGCGTGCGCGCGCGCGCGGACAAGTTATTTAGACATACAGTGTGAGGTAGTTATCATTCGATAACATGAATTGTCCACAAACATCTGTTGAGCACAGCCATTATTTATTACATGATACTAGTTTATAACAAGATCTTGGCTTAAATGGTCAATTTTCAAGGTATACCTGCAAACTGGAATGACGGGTTCCGCGTGATACTTGTAAGGCGCCGTGGGGTAGTGGTTAAAACGTTCGCTCGTCACGCTGAAAACCGGGGTTCGATTCCCAACATGGATATAATGTGCGAAACCTATTTCTCGTGTCCCCCGCCGTGATGTTACTGGAATATTACTAAAACCATACTCACTCACTCACTCACTGATACCTGTAAGTATCAGATTTCCAGTTTGACACGCATCCATATACATGCTCTATTAGTTCACTACATATGAGTGAGAGAGTGGGTTTAGTTTTACGCCGCACTCAGCGATATTCCAGCTATATGGCGGCGGTCTGTACATAATCGAGCCTGGAACAGACAATCCAGTGATCAACATCATAAGCATCGGTCTAAGCCATTAGGAACCGATGATATGTGTCAACCAAGTCATCGAATCTGACCACCCCATCCCGTTAAGTGGACTTTTACGACAAGCATGGGTTACTGAAGACCAATTCTAACCCGAACCTTCACGAGTAGCAACAGACCCTTACTTCTAGATGCAAGCTGTGTGAATGACAGTTAATACCAATAAGGCAGGACATACTTAACCTTTTCGCTTGATATATATATTAATATATTTTTTGTAATTCTCCCCGGCCGAGACGTTTAAAATGTAAATAATGAGCAACGGCATTATTATCGATTGGTTATGTTCTGCCACCGGTACAGACACGGCGCAGGGTATTGTTTTCAACTGTTGCATTATTAATACATAGCAAGGTATTACACTGGCAAATGTTGGAATACCAGATGCAAGCTCACAATAACACAACCTCCGTGACACAAGTAAGATCCAGCTCGCCCCGTACAACAGGTTAAGACAGAGGCACTGTCATCTATCATAGCTGTCGTGATGACGGGTTACCGAGGAATCACACGACCACATACGTCACGGCGACCTGTATTATCTTTAGACCTGTATCTGGTCGGTCTAAACCTAATACATTCACATTATCTCCAGTCGACGTGGCCACATGGCCTTGGAAGCCCTCTACACAAGCGCACAATAACACGAGGGAATAACCCAGCTACTGCAGGTAAGTATTTCCGACTGTACCTTGTTCAATGTTGAAAGAACCTATGGGTGTGAACCTCTATCATGCTAATAGAATGTGCGTTTTAAAAACGAGCAGTTTAAACAGACAGGGGAGTGTTTGGCGTGAGACGTTACATTTCATCCGATCTCCTGAATGAATTGGGCCAGTGTTTCAAGGAATGGAATTTTTCGCTTCCTTGTCACAAGGATGTGTAAGGTATATGTGTGTTTGGAGTTGATGTCGTGTGATGCGTGTTGTTTAAGACCATGCCGTTAGAAACTCGTCTTAGATGTTAGTGTGTCAATATACACTGTGGGAAAGAGACAGCGTGATCGGGGGGCGCAGGTTGACACGCACCTTGTGTTGTTCAAGCATTGCAACGTGTTGATGCCTGTGTGACGGATCGTTGTCAGAGAAGCGCATTGCAGCTACAAATAGCCAGCTAAATACTGTCAGCTGACACGTAAACAGGACTTAGTTTTCGTGAAATACAATAACACTTTCTATGAGCATTTCGCTTTCAAACCGATACACATACCATCACCATTGAACAATTTACTTTACTGTGCTCGAATCATTTCTCTTCATATATACTTCCTTTTAAAAGTTTACACTCACTAGTGTAAATATAGCCACTTACTTCAGGCAACTGTGGTAAACTACATTTTGCAAAATATTCCATACTGTTTAAAGGTATTGTTTACACATGAATTTATGTATTGTAAAACAAATTTGTAACGTTGAAAAGATTATTGTCACGAGTTCCATAAATGATAAAACTCAGTGAAAATTGGCGAATTCTTAACGAAACTTTACACAAAAAGGCAGCTGTTCCCTTGTACGATATTTGCACATGCTTTTCAGCAATTTGATGCACGATCCTCGTGCAATTCGTCTGCATAGAGTTTGCAGTTGGTTGCCCCAAGTTATTTGAGAAATCAATCTTCGATGTAACTACATATATATACATAACACATAGCGAGTGCTTTAAGTGAGTCTAAACCTTTCATGGGAAGCACATTCCAGGACACAAAATTGTCTCTGATCACTGTCTAGCTCTACATAGCTTTGTCTCTGCTCACTGTCTATCTCTACGTAGCCTTGTCTCTGATCACTGTCTAGCTCTACATACCCTTGTCTTTGATCACTATCTAGCTCTACATAGCCTTGTCTTTCATCACTGTCTGCCTCTACATAGCCTTGTCTTTCATCACTGTCTAGCTCTACATAGCCTTGTCTCTCATCACTGTCTGCCTCTACATAGCCTTGTCCCTGACCACTGTCTATCTCTACATAGCCTTGTCTCTGATCACTGTCTACCTCTACATAGCTTTGTCTCTGACCACTGTCTATCTCTACATAGCCTTGTATCTGATCACTGTTTAGCTCTACATAGCCTTGTCTTTCATCACTGTCTAGCTCTACATAGCCTTGTCTTTCATCACTGTCTATCTCTACATAGCCTTGTCTTTCATCACTGTCTAGCTCTACATAGCCTTGTCTTTTCATCACTGTCTATCTCTACATAGCCTTGTCTTTCATCACTGTCTATCTCTACATAGCCTTGTCTCTGATCACTGTCTATCTCTACATAGCCTTGTCTCTAATCACTGTCTATCTGTCTGTAGCATTGTCTCTCATCACTGTCTATCTGTCTATAGCATTGTCTCTCATCTCTGTCTATCTGTCTGTAGCATTGTCTCTCATCACTGTCTGCCCCTATATGGCATTGTCTCTCATCTCTGTCTGTCTGTCTAAAGCATTGTCTCTCATCACTGTCTATCTGTCTGAAGCATTGTCTCTCATCACTGTCTGCCTCTACATGACATTGTCTCTCATCACTGTCTATCTGTCTGAAGCATTGTCTCTCATCACTGTCTATCTGTCTGTAGCATTGTCTCTCATATCTGGGGCGGTGGGGTAGCCTAGTGGTTAAAGCGTTGGCTCGTCACGCCGAAGACCCGGGTTCGAATCCCCACATGGGTACAATTTGTGAAGGCCATTTCTGGTGTCCCCCGCCGTGATGTTGCTGGAATATTGCTTAAAGCGGCGTAAAACCAAATTCAGTCAGTCAGTCAGTCTCTCATCTCTGTCTATCTGTCTGTAGCATTGTCTCTCATCACTTGCTATCTGTCTGTAGCATTGTCTCTTATCACTGTCTTCCTCTACATGGCATTGTCTCGAGAGATCATCACTGTCTATCTGTCTAAAGCATTGCCTCTCATCACTGTCTGCCCCTACATGGCATTGTCTCTCATCACTGTCTATCTGTCTGTAGCATTGTCTCTCATCACTGTCTATCTGTCTATAGCATTGTCTCACATCACTGTCTATCTGTCTGTAGCATTCTCTCTCATCACTGTCTATCTGTCTATAGCATTGTCTCTCATCTCTGTCTATTTGTCTGTACCATGGTCTCTTATCACTGTCTATCTGTCTATAGCATTCTCTCTCATCACTGTCTATCTGTCTGTAGCATTGTGTCTCATCACTGTCTATCTGTCTATAGCATTGTCTCTCATCACTGTCTATATGTCTGTAGCATTGTCTCTCATCGCTGTCTATCTGTCTATAGCATTGTCTCTCATCTCTGTCTATCTGTCTGTAGCATTGTCTCTCATCACTGTCTATCTGTCTATAGCATTGTCTCTCATCTCTGTCTATCTGTCTATAGCATTCTCTCTCATCACTGGCTATCTGTCTGTAGCATTGTTCTCTCATCACTGGCTATCCGTCTATAGCATTCTCTCTCATCACTGTCTATCTGTCTATAGCATTGTCTTTCATCTCTGTCTATCCGTCTACATAGCCTGTCTTCATCACTGTCTATCTGTCCATATCATCTCTTCATCATCGTCTTTCATCACTGTCTATCTGTCTGTAGCATTGTCTTTCATCACTGTCTTCTCTACATGGCATTGTCTCGAGAGATCATCACTGTCTATCTGTCTAAAGCATTGCCTCTCATCACTGTCTATCTCTACATGGCATTGTCTAGAGAGACTAGCACTGTCTCTATATGAAGCATTGTCTCTCATCACTGTCTGCCTCTACATGGCATTGTCTTTCATCACTGTCTATCTGTCTGTAGCATTGTCTCATCATCACTATCTGTCTACATAGCATTGTTCTCTCATCTCTGTCTATCTGTCTGTAGCATTGTCTTTATCACTGTCTATCTGTCTGTAGCATTGTCTCTCATCACTGTCTATCTCTCTGTAGCATTGTCTTTCATCACTGTCTATCTGTCTATAGCATCCTCTTTCATCACTGTCTATCTCTCTGTAGCATTGTCTTTCATCACTGTCTCTGTCTATAGCATTGTCTTTCATCACTGTCTATCTGTCTGTAGCATTGTCTCTCATCACTGTCTATCTCTACATAGCATTGTCTCTCATCTCTGTCTATCTGTCTGTAGCATTGTCTCTTCATCACTGTCTATCTGTCTATAGCATTGTCTTTCATCACTGTCTATCTCTCTGTAGCATTGTCTCTCATCACTGTCTATCTGTCTATACATAGCATTGTCTCTCATCACTGTCTATCTGTCTATAGCATTGTCTCTCATCTCTGTCTATCTGTCTGTAGCATTGTCTCTCATCACTGTCTATCTGTCTATAGCATTGTCTCTCATCTCTGTCTATCTGTCTATAGCATTCTCTCTCATCACTGTCTATCTGTCTGTAGCATTGTCTCTCATCACTGTCTATCTGTCTATAGCATTGTCTTTCATCACTGTCGATCTGTCTATAGCATTGTCTCTTCATCTCTGTCTATCCGTCTGTAGCATTGTCTCTCATCACTGTCTATCTGTCTATAGCATTGTCTCTCATCACTGTCTATCTGTCTGTAGCATTGTGTCTCATCACTGTCTATCTGTCTATAGCATTGTCTCTCATCACTGTCTATATGTCTGTAGCATTGTCTCTCATCGCTGTCTATCTGTCTATAGCATTGTCTCTCATCTCTGTCTATCTGTCTGTAGCATTGTCTCTCATCACTGTCTATCTGTCTATAGCATTGTCTCTCATCTCTGTCTATCTGTCTATAGCATTCTCTCTCATCACTGGCTATCTGTCTGTAGCATTGTCTCTCATCACTGGCTATCCGTCTATAGCATTCTCTCTCATCACTGTCTATCTGTCTATAGCATTGTCTCGTATCTCTGTCTATCCGTCTGTAGCATTGTCTCTCATCACTGTCTATCTGTCTATAGCATTGTCTCTCATCACTGTCTATCTGTCTGTAGCATTGTCTCTGATCACTGTCTTCCTCTACATGGCATTGTCTCGAGAGATCATCACTGTCTATCTGTCTAAAGCATTGCCTCTCATCACTGTCTATCTCTACATGGCATTGTCTAGAGAGATTAGCACTGTCTATCTATATGAAGCATTGTCTCTGATCACTGTCTGCCCCTACATGGCATTGTCTCTCATCACTGTCTATCTGTCTGTAGCATTGTCTCTCATCACTGTCTATCTGTCTATAGCATTGTCTCTCATCTCTGTCTATCTGTCTGTAGCATTGTCTCTTATCACTGTCTATCTGTCTGTAGCATTCTCTCTCATCACTGTCTATCTGTCTGTAGCATTGTCTCTCATCACTGTCTATCTGTCTATAGCATCCTCTTTCATCACTGGCTATCTGTCTGTAGCATTGTCCCTTATCACTGTCTATCTGTCTATAGCATTGTCTCACATCACTGTCTATCTGTCTGTAGCATTGTCTCTCATCACTGTCTATCTGTCTATAGCATTGTCTCTCATCTCTGTCTATCTGTCTGTAGCATTGTCTCTTATCACTGTCTATCTGTCTATAGCATTCTCTCTCATCACTGTCTATCTGTCTGTAGCATTGTCTCTCATCACTGTCTATCTGTCTATAGCATTGTCTCTCATCACTGTCTATCTGTCTATAGCATTGTCTCTCATCTCTGTCTATCTGTCTGTAGCATTGTCTCTCATCACTGTCTATCTGTCTATAGCATTGTCTCTCAT